CACACATGGTGCAGCAGGTCCTTCAGCGCTTCGGTTTCACCTGGTCCTCAGCACTGGCCACTCCTCTGGCTACAGGTCACTCGCTCTCAGCTCCACCTTCAGACGAGTCCGTAGAGCCGAGTGGTCCTTACCCAGAGTTAGTAGGCTGCCTCATGTACCTGATGAATTGCACTCGTCCTGACCTTGCGTACCCTCTTGGCCTTCTGGCTCGCTACGTGGCTCCTGGTCGGCACCGAAAGGTGCACATGGATGCTGCCAAGAGGGTACTACGCTACTTGTGCAGTACATCGGGCATGGGGCTCGTGCTTGGAGGACGGGGTGACGTTGTCCTCACTGGTCACTCGGACGCCTCTTGGGTTGACGAACAGGCTACGCAGCGGTCGTCACAGGGTTACACCTTCAGCCTTGGCTCTTGTTCAGTTTCCTGGCGTTCTACACGCTCGTCTTCAGTTCTCGGCTCCAGTTGTGAGGCTGAGATCTACGCCACAAGCCATGGCTGCACAGGAGCTTTCGCTGGCTCACCTACCTGCTGACTGACTTGGGAGAGCGGCCTCGTTCTCCTCCAGTGCTGTACGTCGACAACAAGGCCGCCATTGCCTTGTGTCAGGAGCACAGACTGGAGCACAGAACGAAGCACATCGCTCTCCGTTACTTTCTTGCTCGAGAGCTGCAGCAGCGTGGCCAGCTTCGTCTTACCTACGTGGCCACTCGGGCCAACACTGCTGATATATTCACCAAGGCACTTCCGCCTGGTGATCATTAGCGTTTCTGCACTTTGTTAGGCCTTGTGCCCACGCTTCCTCACTTGCTGTAGGCTTTGTTTGTACCATGATTTATATGTATTCCTGCATGCTTGTTCTTGTAGGTAGATTTCACTGTACTGTTGTTGTTACATATATATCTCTGCATGTGAACTGGCCTTGTGGCCTTCTTGCTTGTGCTCAGACTGCGTGGTGACGTTGTGATCCACCCTGAGCTTGCTTTGCACTTCCTGACTGGTCTTGTGACCCTCTGTTCTCCCCCACTCTGCCTATGGGGGTGTGTCAAACATATGTATATCTATGTTATAGTTTGGGTAGGCTTAGTGGGGTACACACTGTGGGGTACAACCCCTTAGGTTCATTTTCTTTGTACCAACCCCCTCGATAGTCGACATCACTTTAGCCTACGCTTATGACAGATGGCTCCTAGTCCCACCCTCTAGCTACTATTCTTTAAAGAATCATGGGCCCACCCGTCGCTCTGCCCGTTTGCACGGCACGCGCTGGCTTCCCCGTACCCGTCCCATCCCATCGCCATGCGCGCGCAGCCACGCGAAGCCGCGCAAAGCTGCCTGCAGCCGTGCGCAGCCACGCGCAGACGCACAAGGTCGCGGGCGACGGTCGCCAGCGCCAGCGCCAGCCCTGACGACGGTTGCCAAATCGTGCGCCAGCCCCGGCGATGGTCGCCAGAGCGTGCGCCAACCCCAACGAAGGTCACCAGCGCGTGCGCCAGCCCCGCCGACGGTCGCCAGCGCGCCCCACGCCACCACTGCGCGGCCAGGCGCAGCAGCGCGCACTGCCCCCCCTCCCTGCCGCGGCTTCCACCGTGGGGGGGGGGGGGGGGATGAGGGGGGATGAGGGGGTGGCAGCGCCAGCCGCCTCCTCCTCCTGTGTGCTTTTCCTTACGCTGCCACTGGGGGGGGGGGGGGGGTGGGGTGAGGGGGTGACAGGAGTGAAGTTTCAGCACCAGCCGCCCTCCTCTCTCTCCTCTCTCGTTTATTTCTCTCTGTTATAATGTTTATATTGTGTAGACTGGGTAGCCCATAAGGGGTACAACCTAATTATGGTTAGTACTTGTACCAACTTTATTCTCAATGCAATCATTCCCTCGTCTAGATTCAAACATGGTTTCAAAGCAGTTCCTGTTCTAGGACCGTTTTTGTAGGGCCCACCGATTAGTTTACCGATTAGTCCATACTCACTAAAGCCTACGTCTAGCCTAAAGAAACTACCTAACACTCATTGAAATTATGGTTTGGCCAGGGGATAGAGGAAAAAGAGAGCCGGTGTTGTCAAGGCGCCTCAAATGAGGGGACGGAGGAAAGGGGCAGCAGGCGAAAGTGAGAATGTACAATGCACATATCATGGAGCTTCAGAAGAATTATTCGTCTATTATCAACATTGTTACAAAGCAAAAATTAGTATGTCAACGGAACTGAGCCTATGCACTAGTGAACTTGGTCACGGCTTTTGTTCCCTCGGAAACAGCGTGCTTCGCAAGCTCTCCAGGCAGAGTCAGCCGAACAGCCGTCTGAATCTCGCGAGACGTGATCGTCGGCTTCTTGTTGTACCGCGCGAGCTTCGACGCCTCCGTCGCGAGCTTCTCAAAAATATCATTTATAAAAGAATTCATGATCGACATGGCCTTGGACGATATCCCCGTGTCTGGATGCACCTGCTTCAGCACCTTGTAGATGTAGATCTTGTACGTTTCGGTTACGGCCTTGCGAGCCTTTTTCTTCTCTTTCTTGTCACCGATGGGCTTTTTCCCCGCGGGAATGGCTTTCTTAGCGGCGGGCTCCTTCTTGGGTCCCTTCTTCGCCGCCTTCTGCTCTCCTTCTACCTTTGGCGCCATCGTAACACAGCGTTTCTCAACAAACAAGTAGCTCAAACGGAAAGAGGGTCTTGGAAAGTGACAGTAAGAGGAAGCACTGAAAAGCGTTGTTGTCAAGGGCGTCGGATAAGGAAACTAACGAAGTGACGAAATGCGAGAACGGACGCTTCTGATACAGAAGTCTGTTGCCACACAAACCTATTTCAACAGATATGGCTGTGTTGGGGAAGAGGGTCCGTGGCTGGAGTTGCGTGCATGGTGGTGCGGGTTCTCGGCATTTGTTGCAATACAGAAACTGTTGTGGTTTGTTGTTTCAAAAATTAGCCAATAGACCGCTGGGCGTCAGATCGAAGCCTTCAAATTACACCGTCGATGGAAAAACGTGTAACTCGCTGAACCGTCAAAAGCACTTCCAGCTGGGTTTCTGCTTCCGCTCAATTTCAGATCATCTGATCCAATTCAACGGCGTAGTGCTTGCGGTCGTGCAAGGTGTGGTAACTTTGCGAACATTGATTCGTCGGGTGAAAGTCACTGCAGTCTACCCTGGTTGTAAGCCAATCACAAATCGCATTTGCAACATTTCGGGATCGACGCAGATCAGGGTTCGCCGTTGATATGACTGTCCCCAAATTCCTCATCGACGACCAAGAAACGCCAACTTCACCAAACAACACGTCAATCCATCGCCAACACCACCAAACATGAGATGCGAGAACACCACAGGCACTGGACTAGGCGACCCCCCCACCACACCATACCACACCACATCAGAACGCACCACACCAACCAGTGCCCCATCCATCGCTGCTCTCCATTGGTCTGACCCCAATTAGTCCAGCCAGGATGCTCTGAATAAAGGGGCTCTGAATGGATCCTGATTTCCATGGTTCCAGTTCCTCTCCAAGTCTTTAGTTCCAGTTCCTTATCAAATTCATAGTTTCAGTTTGCCTTTGGTTTTCGAGATTGAAGAGAGACAACATAATACAACTATTTTTCAAGACTTCGTTGCGGAGCTGCACATATCTTTGACCTCAAGACTGATTGAGCTCCATCTGCGTCTCGCTTTCAGTTTCAGCTATTCTTGAAGACTTCCCAGTCGTATCTTCGTGTGCGGTTAAAGTTCGTCAGTCATCATGTCGGGACGCGGCAAGGGAGGCAAGGGCCTAGGAAAGGGGGGCGCGAAGCGTCACAGGAAGGTTCTTCGCGACAACATTCAGGGCATCACCAAGCCGGCTATCAGGCGTCTCGCTCGCCGCGGCGGCGTCAAGCGTATCAGCGGTCTAATCTACGAAGAGACTCGCGGTGTGCTCAAGGTGTTCCTCGAGAATGTCATTCGTGACGCTGTGACATACACGGAGCACGCGCGGAGAAAGACGGTCACCGCCATGGATGTTGTTTATGCCTTGAAACGCCAAGGCAGAACACTGTACGGCTTCGGCGGCTAGCCAGAAAAAAATTAGGCATGTGGAAGTTGTAGCATTTACCGTAGTTTCCAGTTAGCGTTGTCATCAGTTATGATTGTACAAAAGAATCACTAATGATATAACCCGCACCTCTTTCTGTGCGCCTTGCGAACAAGACTCCTACGCCCTGGATACACAGCCCCTCTAGTCCAACCATGGCGTCAGTGGTTGAGTGATCCCAATGGTTGCAAGGATGGTAAAACGGTAGCTGGAAAATGGTACAGCACATTCCAGGAGTCAGTAGTGATAGACAGTCATGCTTGTTTCTATCACTACACACCTATCAAGCAGCGTTTTATTGTTGAAACTATCAATATGGAGCAGCAGAGCAGCTGACATACAGCAAGCGTTTCAGGTTGCTCCTTCATCTACTCATCTGATTGTTTTGCTGCCTACCCTTCTACCTACTGGTACCATGTTGTGACTCGTGAGCGTTACTTTGGCGCAGAGTTTGCAGCACCGCAGACCCACCATCTTCTAAGCAGGAAGGAAGGCAGTGTGGCGTAGTCAGACTGCTTGTGCATAGACGGACGGAACTCAGTAAAACTATTTTTTGTATGCTGCTACCTGGAAGAACCTGCTACTATCGCTGGCCCTTGCATAGGCATCAGCGGCCAAGAGGGGCGTTCATGAGGTCTATGGCTTTCTCAGCAAGCTGCAGACACAGAGATCAATGGGGGAGGAGGGGAGGGGTTGATGGGGAGGAGCAGAAGAGACATAGAGAGAGGAGAGGAGGTGAGTGAAAGCGGCGTGTTCGTAAGGTAAATGGCTTTCTCGGCAAGCTGCACAGGCACCGGATAAATAAGGGGGGAGGGGAGGGTGAGAAAGGGGTTGGGGGGGGGGGGGGGGTTGACTTTTGAGTCGGATTGAGCCATCAGCGGACAAGAGGGGCGTTCATGAGGTCAATGGCTTTCTCGGCAAGCTGCACAGGCACCAAGGAGATCATGGGGGGAAGGGGGAAGGAGGGGGAGTTGATGGGGAGGAGCAGGAGAGACACAGAGAGAGGGGAGAGGAGGCGAGTGAAAGGGGGGCGTTCATGAGGTCAATGGCTTTCTCTGCAAGCTGCACAGGCACAGAGGAGATCAATGGGGGAAGGGGAGAGGGGGAAAGGCGGGAAAGGGGGGGGTGACTTTAAGTCGACTCAGGAGTCTGATTGAGACATCAGCGGACAAGAGGGGCGTTCATGAGGGGCGCAACCGCAAAGGGTCAATGGCTTTCTCGGCAAGCTGCACAGGCACCAGTAGAATAAAGGGAGGGGGGGGGAGGGGAGGAAGAAGAGGGGGAGAGAGGGGGGGAGTTGACTTTTAAGTTGAATTGAGACATCAGCCGCCAAGAGGGGCGTTTATGAGGGGCGTTTATGAGGGGCGGTCAATGGCTTTCTCGGCAAGCTGCACAGGCACAGAGGAGATCAAGGGGGGGGCAGGAGCAGCAGAGACACAGAGAGGCGAGGAGGTGAGTGAAAGAGGGGCGTTCATGAGGGGCGGTCTATGGCTCTCTCGGCAAGCTGCACAGGCACAGAGTAGGAAATCCAGGGGGAGGGGGGGGGAAGGGGGGGTTGATGGGGAGGAGCAGAAAGTGACATAGAGAGAGGGGAGAGGAGGCGAGTGAAAGAGGGGCGTTGATTAAGCCCCCTCCCACCCCACCCCATCCCACCCTACCTTGGACACGTTCTTGAGCTCTCGGTCGATGGTACCTTCTGGTTGACTCGGAAAAACCCCACTCCTCATCCCCTTCCCCACCCTGCCACCCCACCCCACCCCACCCCACCCCACCCCACCCACCCCACCCACCCCACCCTACTTTGGACACGGTCTTTTGAGACATCTCAAAAGTCACCCACCCCACCCTACCTTGGACACGGTCTTGCGCCATGGGCTCGATGGCCTTCCAGGAGAGCGGGCTGTTGACCTCCAGTGGCCCCAGTCCTCCCATCCCCAGCACCCCCACCCACCCCACCCCACCCCACTCCACCCCAACCCACCCTACCTTGGACACGGTCTTGAGCTCTCGGGCCATGGGCTCAATGGCCTTCCAGGAGAGTGGGCTGTTGATCTCCAGCGGCCACACCTGAAGGGGCGAGGAGGGGTGAGAAGGGGAGAAGGAGGATGCAGGTAAGTCATGGATGGGGGCTCCATGGCCTTCCAAAAGAGAGAGGGCTGTTGATTTCCAGCGGCCACACTCGGAGTGTCAGAGGGGGCGGGGGAAAGAAAAGCGAGGAGACGACAAGGAAAGGATGCTGATGAATGGCTTTCCAGGAAAGTGGGTTGTGTTGTGTCACCGTAAAGTGGCCAAACCTGGAATAACAACCATCTCCACACACCTGGACGCCCATCTCCACCCATCTCCACCCATCTGCACACCCATGACAATGACAGGCCGCTTGAGCCCCGGCACCAAGCAGTCCTCCCCTGCCGCCTCCACCCCTGCCTCCTGCATCAGCAGCAATACGGCTCTAGAGCACCCACATGCACGCCTGTACCACCTATTTCCACCGCTCTCCACCCACCTGCACGCCCATGACAATGACGGGCCGCTTCAGCCCCGGCACCAGACAGCCCTCCCCTGCCGCCTCCACCCCTGCCTCCTGCATCTGCAACAATAAGCCTCCATAGCACCCACCTGCACGCCCATCTGCACCCACCTGTACGCCAATAGCACCCACCTCCACCCATCTCCACCGCTCTGCACCCACCTGCACGCCCATGACAATGACGGGCCGCTTCAGCCCGGCACCAAACAGTCCTCCCCTGCCGCCTCCACCCCTGCCTCCTGCGCCAACCCCATGCCTATGGGGTCTGGGTGCTGCTAGGGGTGGTGGGGGAAGGGGCAGGCGGGGAAAAAACGGAGCGGGGAGGCAGGGGGAAGAAGCAGGTTAACAAAAGGGAGGCAGGGGGAAGAAGCAGGTTAACAAAGGGGAGGCAGGGGGAAGAAGCAGGTTAACAAAGGGGAGGCAGGGGGAAGAAGCAGGTTAACAAGGGGAGGCAGGGGGAAGAAGCAGGTTCAACAAAGGGGAGGCAGGGGGAAGAAGCGGTTAACAAAGGGGAGGCAGGGGGAAGAAGCGGTTCACAAAGGGGAGGCAGGGGGAAGAAGCAGGTTACCAAAGGGGAGGCAGGGGGAAGAAGCAGGTTCACAAAGGGGAGGCAGGGGGAAGAAGCAGGTTAACAAAGGGGAGGCAGGGGGAAGAAGCAGGTTCACAAAGGGGAGGCAGGGGGAAGAAGCAGGTTAACAAAGGGGAGGCAGGGGGAAGAAGCAGGTTCACAAAGGGGAGGCAGGGGAAGAAGCAGGTTCACAAGGGGAGGCAGGGGGAAGAAGCAGGTTCACAAAGGGGAGGCAGGGGGAAGAAGCAGGTTCACAAAGGGGAGGCAGGGGGAAGAAGCAGGTTCACAAAGGGGAGGCAGGGGAAGAAGCAGGTTAACAAAGGGGAGGCAGGGGAAGAAGCAGGTTCACAAAGGGGAGGCAGGGGGAAGAAGCAGGTTCACAAAGGGGAGGCAGGGGAAGAAGCAGGTTCAAAGGGGAGGCAGGGGGAAGAAGCAGGTTCACAAAGGGGAGGCAGGGGGAAGAAGCAGGTTCACAAAGGGAGGCAGGGGGAAGAAGCAGGTTAACAAAGGGGAGGCAGGGGGAAGAAGCAGGTTAACAAAGGGAGGCAGGGGAAGAAGCAGGTGTTCACAAGGGGAGGCAGGGGGAAGAAGCGGTTCACAAAGGGGAGGCAGGGGGAAGAAGCAGGTTCACAAGGGGAGGCAGGGGGAAGAAGCAGTTAACAAGGGGAGGCAGGGGGAAGAAGCAGGTTCACAAAGGGGAGGCAGGGGGAAGAAGCAGGTTCACAAAGGGGAGGCAGGGGGAAGAAGCAGGTTAACAAAGGGGAGGCAGGGGAAGAAGCAGGTTCACAAAGGGGAGGCAGGGGGAAGAAGCAGGTTCACAAAGGGGAGGCAGGGGAAGAAGCAGGTTCACAAAGGGGAGGCAGGGGGAAGAAGCAGGTTCACAGGGGAGGCAGGGGGAAGAAGCAGGTTAACAAAGGGGAGGCAGGGGAAGAAGCAGGTTCACAAAGGGGAGGCAGGGGGAAGAACAGGTTCACAAAGGGGAGGCAGGGGAAGAAGCAGGTTAAAAAGGGGAGGCAGGGGGAAGAAGCAGGTTCACAAAGGGGAGGCAGGGGGGAAGAAGCAGGTTCACAAAGGGGAGGCAGGGGGAGAAGCAGGTTCACAAAGGGGAGGCAGGGGGAAGAAGCAGGTTCACAAGGGGAGGCAGGGGGAAGAAGCAGGTTAACAAAGGGGAGGCAGGGGGAAGAAGCAGGTTCACAAGGGGAGGCAGGGGGAAGAAGCAGGTTCACAAGGGGAGGCAGGGGGAAGAGCAGGTTAACAAAGGGGAGGCAGGGGAAGAAGCAGGTTTCACAAAGGGGAGGCAGGGGAAGAAGCAGGTTAACAAAGGGGAGGCAGGGGGAAGAAGCAGGTTCACAAAGGGGAGGCAGGGGGAAGAAGCAGGTTAACAAAGGGGAGGCAGGGGGAAGAAGCAGGTTCACAAAGGGGAGGCAGGGGAAGAAGCAGGTTAACAAAGGGGAGGCAGGGGAAGAAGCAGGTTCACAAAGGGGAGGCAGGGGAAGAAGCAGGTTAACAAAGGGGAGGCAGGGGGAAGAAGCAGGTTCACAAAGGGGAGGCAGGGGGAAGAAGCAGGTTCACAAAGGGGAGGCAGGGGGAAGAAGCAGGTTCACAAAGGGGAGGCAGGGGGAAAAGCAGGTTAACAAAGGGGAGGCAGGGGAAGAAGCAGGTTAACAAAGGGGAGGCAGGGGGAAGAAGCAGGTTCACAAAGGGGAGGCAGGGGAAGAAGCAGGTTCACAAAGGGGAGGCAGGGGAAGAAGCAGGTTCACAAAGGGGAGGCAGGGGGAAGAAGCAGGTTCACAAAGGGGAGGCAGGGGGAAGAAGCAGGTTCACAAAGGGAGGCAGGGGGAAGAAGCAGGTTAACAAAGGGGAGGCAGGGGGAAGAAGCAGGTAACAAAGGGAGGCAGGGGGAAGAAGCAGGTTCACAAGGGGAGGCAGGGGGAAAAGCAGGTTCACAAAGGGGGGCAGGGGGAAGAAGCAGGTTCACAAAGGGGAGGCAGGGGAAGAAGCAGGTTAACAAAGGGGAGGCAGGGGGAAGAAGCAGGTTCACAAAGGGGAGGCAGGGTTCACAAAGGGGAGGCAGGGGGAAGAAGCAGGTTCAACAAAGGGAGGCAGGGGGAAGAAGCAGGTTCACAAAGGGGAGGCAGGGGGAAGAAGAGCGGTTCACAAAAGGGAGGCAGGGGGAAGAAGCCGGTTCACAAAGGGGAGGCAGGGGGAAGAAGCAGGTTCACAAAGGGGAGCAGGGGGAAGAAGCAGGTTCACAAAGGGAAGGCAGGGGGGAACGAAGCAGGTTCACAAAGGGGAGGCGCAGGGGGGAAGAAGCAGGTTCAACAAAGGGGAGGCAGGGGGGGGAAGAAGCAGGTTCACAAAGGGGAGGCAGGGGGAAGAAGCATGGTTCACAAAGGGGAGGCAGGGGGAAGAAGCAGGTTCACAAAGGGGAGGCAGGGGGAAGAAGCAGGTATACAAAAGGGGAGGCAGGGGGAAGAAGCAGGTTAACAAAGGGGAGGCAGGGGGAAGAGCAGGGTAACAAAGGTGAGGCAGGGGGAAGAAGCAGGTTAACAAGGGACGGACAGGGGGAAGAAGCAGGTTCACAAGGGAGGCAGGGGAAGAAGCCGGTTCACAAAGGGGAGTGCAGGGGGAAGAAGCAGGTTCACAAAGGGGAGGCAGGGGGAAGAAGCAGGTTCACAACAAGGGGAGGCAGGGGGAAGAAGCAGGTTCACAAAGGGGAGGCAGGGGAAGAAGCAGGTTCACAAAGGGGAGGGCAGGGGGAAGAAGCAGGTTAACAAAGGGAGGCAGGGGGAAGAAGCAGGTTCACAAAGGGGAGGGGGGAAGAAGCAGGTTCACAAAGGGGAGGCAGGGGGAAGAAGCAGGTTCACAAAGGGGAGGCAGGGGGAAGAAGCAGGTTAACAAAGGGGAGGCAGGGGGAAGAAGCAGGTTCACAAAGGGGAGGCAGGGGGAAGAAGCAGGTTAACAAAGGGGAGGCAGGGGGAAGAAGCAGGTTCACAAAGGGGAGGCAGGGGGGAGAAGCAGGTTCACAAAGGGGAGGCAGGGGGAAGAAGCAGGTTAACAAAGGGGAGGCAGGGGGAAGAAGCAGGTTCACAAAGGGGAGGCAGGGGGAAGAAGCAGGTTCACAAAGGGGAGGCAGGGGGAAGAAGCAGGTTCACAAAGGGGAGGCAGGGGAAGAAGCAGTTCACAAAGGGGAGGCAGGGGGAAGAAGCAGGTTCACAAAGGGGGAGGCAAGGGGGAAGAAGCAGGTTCACAAAGGGGAGGCAGGGGGAAGAAGCAGGTTCACAAAGGGAGGCAGGGGGGAAGAAGCAGGTTCACAAAGGGGAGGCAGGGGGAAGAAGCAGGTTCACAAAGGGGAGGCAGGGGGAAGAAGCAGGTTCACAAAGGGGAGGCAGGGGGAAGAAGCAGGTTCACAAAGGGGAGGCAGGGGGAAGAAGCAGGTTCACAAAGGGGAGGCAGGGGGAAGAAGCAGGTTCACAAAGGGGAGGCAGGGGGAAGAAGCAGGTTCACAAAGGGGAGGCAGGGGGAAGAAGCAGGTTCACAAAGGGAGGCAGGGGGAAGAAAGCAGGTAACAAAGGGAGGCAGGGGGAAGAAGCAGGTTCACAAAGGGGAGGCAGGGGGAAGAAGCAGGTTCAACAAAGGGGAGGCAGGGGGAAGAAGCAGGTTCACAAAGGGGAGGCAGGGGGAAGAAGCAGGTTCACAAAGGGGAGGCAGGGGGAAGAAAGCAGGTTCACAAAGGGGAGGCAGGGGGAAGAAGCAGGTTCACAAAGGGGAGGCAGGGAAAGAAGCAGGTTTCACAAAGGGGAGGCAGGGGAAGAAGCAGGTTCACAAAGGGGAGGCAGGGGGAAGAAGCAGGTTAACAAAGGAGGGCAGGGGGAAGAAGCAGGTTCACAAAGGGGAGGCAGGGGGAAGAAGCAGGTTCACAAAGGGGAGGCAGGGGGAAGAAGCAGGTTCACAAAGGGGAGGCAGGGG